CACATTACACTTAGTAAAGCCCCTGGCACAAGAACAGACACTCAGATCAATGGAACAGAATAGAGAACCCAGAAATGGACCCACAAACATATGGCCAACTAATCTTTGACAAAGCAGGAAAGAATATCCCATGGAATAAAGACAGTCTCTTCAGCAAGTGGTGCTGGGAAAAGTGGACAGCAACATGCAGAAGAATGAACCTGGACCACTTTCTTACACCATACACAAAAATAAACTCTAAATGGATAAAAGACCTAAATGTAAGACAGGAAAACATCAAAATCCTCAAGGAGACAGCAGGCAGAAACCTCTTTGACCTTAGCAACAGCAACTTCTTATTCTACACATCTCCAGAGGCAAGGGAAACAAAAGCAAAAATGAACTATTGGGACCTCATCAGGATAAAAAAAACTTCTGCACAGCAAAGGAAACAATCAGCAAAACTAAAAGGCAACCAACAGAATGGGAGAAGATATTTGCAAATGACATATCAGATAAAGGGTTAGTATCCAAAATCAAGAAAGAACTTATCAAACCCAACACCCCAAAAACAAATAATGCAGTAAAGAAATGGGCAGAAGACATGAATAGACACTTCTCCAAAGAAGACATCCAGATGGTCAGCCGACACATGAAAAAATGTTCAACATCACTCATGATCAGGGAAATACAAATCAAAACCACAATGAGATACCCCCCTCACACCTGTCAGAATGGCTAATATTAACAACGTAGGCAACAACAGATGTTGGCGAGGATGCGGAGAAAGAGGATCTCCTTTGCACTGCTGGTGGGAATGCAGGCTGATGCAACCACTCTGGAAAACAGTATGGAGGCTACTCAAAAAATTAAAAATAGAACTACCTACGACCCAGCAATTGCATTACTAGGTATTTGTCCAAGGGATACAGGTATGCTGTTTCTAAGGGGCATATGCACCCCCATGTTTATAGCAGCACTATCAACAATAGCCAAAATATGGAAAGAGCCCAAACGTCCATTGATGGATTAATGGATAAAGAAGATGTGTTATATATGTGTGTGTATATATATATATATATATCCATCCAATGGAGAATTACTCGGCAATCAAAAAGAATGAAATCTTGCCATTTGCAACTATGTGGATAGAACTAGAAGGTATTATGCTAAGCGAAATTAGTCAGTCAGAGAAAGACAAATATCATATGACCTCACTCATATGAGTGAACATAAGGGAAGGGAAGAAAAATAATATGAAAACAGGGAGGGGGACAAAACAGAAGAGACTCATAAATATGGAGAACAAACAGGTTACTGGAGGGGTTGGGGGAGGGGGGATGGGCTAAATGGGTAAGGGGCATTAAGGAATCTACTCCTGAAATCATTGTTGCACTATATGCTAACTTGGATGTAAATTTAAAAAATTAAATTAAATTTTTAAAAAAAAGTAAAGTTGGAACAGCACGTGACTCTTGATCTTGGGGTCACAGAGTCGTGAGTTTGAGCCCCACGTTGGGTGTAGAGATTACTTATAAATAAGTAAATAACATTTAAAAAATCAAAAACAGGGGCGCCTGGGTGGCGCAGTCGGTTAGGCGTCCGACTTCAGCCAGGTCACGATCTCGCGGTCCGGGAGTTCGAGCCCCGCGTCAGGCTCTGGGCTGGTGGCTCGGAGCCTGGAGCCTGTTTCCGATTCTGTGTCTCCCTCTCTCTCTGCCCCTCCCCTGTTCATGCTCTGTCTCTCTCTGTCCCAAAAATAAATAAACCTTGAAAAAAAAATTTTTTTTTAAATAAAAATGAAATTCAGGTTCTGAACGTATGAGCAAATTTGCTAAAGATCACACAGAAAACAATTAGTGAAGGGGACTTAAAGAGAAATTAAAAAACAATCCCACTTACAATTGCATCAAAAAGAATAAAATACACAAGAGTAAATTTAACCAAGGAGGTGAAAGACCTGTGTGCTGAAAACTACAAAGCAATGTGGAGAAGACACAAATAAAAAGAAATATATTCTGTTTTCTGGAATAGAAGAATTGATATTGTTCAGACGTCCATACTACCTAAAGCAATCTATGGATTCAAGGCAGTCTCTATCAAAATTCCAATGGCATTTTTCCTAGAAATAGTACAAATAATCTTAAAATGTGTATGGAACCATGGGGCGCCTGGGTGGCTCAGTCGGTTAAGCGGCCGACTTCGGCTCAGGTCATGATCTCGCAGTCCGTGGGTTCGAGCCACGCGTCAGGCTCTGTGCTGAGAGCACAGAGCCTGGAGCCTGTTTCGGATTCTGTGTCTCCCTCTCTCTGACCATCCCCTGTTCATACTCTGTCTCTCCCTGTCTCAAAAATAAGTAAAACGTTAAAAAAAATTTTAAAAATGTGTATGGAACCATAGAATATCCAAATAGTCAAAGTAATCTTGAGAAAGAACAAAACTGGAGGCTTCACGTTTCCTGAGTTCAAGCTACACTGCAGAGCTGCAGTAATCGAAACAGTATGGTATTGGCATAAAATTAGACACACAGATCAATAGAACAGGATTGAGAGCCCAGAAATAAACCCACGCAAATATGGTCAATTAATCTATAACAAAGAATCCAAGAATAGACAATGGAGAATAAACAGTCCCTTCAATAAATGATACTAGGAAAACTGGACAGCCACATGCAAAACAATGAAACTGGACCACCGTCTCCTACCACATATAAAATTAATTCTAAAAGGGTTAAAGATTTGAATGTAAGACCTGAAACCATAACATTCCTAGAAGAAAACATAAATGATAAACTTCTTTTTTTTTTTTTTAATTTTTTTTTCCAACGTTTATTTATTTTTGGGACAGAGAGAGACAGAGCATGAACAGGGGAGGGGCAGAGAGAGAGGAAGACACAGAATCGGAAACAGGCTCCAGGCTCTGAGCCATCAGCCCAGAGCCTGACGCGGGGCTCGAACTCACGGACCGTGAGATCGTGACCTGGCTGAAGTCAGACGCTTAACCGACTGTGCCACCCAGGCGCCCCCAATGATAAACTTCTTGACATTGGTCTCGGCAATGATTTTCTGGACTTCACAAAAGCAAAGTCAACAAAAGGAAAATCAAAAAGTGGGACTACATCAAACTACAAAGCTTCTGCATAGCAAAGGAAATTATCAACAAAACGAAAAAGCAACGTATCAAATGGGAGGAAATATTTCCAAATCATATATCAGATAAGAGCTTAACATCCAAAATGTATAAAGAACTCTTACAGGGGCGCGTGGGTGGCTCAGCCGGTAAGCGTCCGACTTCAGCTCAGATCATGATCTCATGGTTTGTGAGTTCGAGACCCTCCTCAGGCTCTGTGCTGACTGCTCAGAGCCTGGAGCCTACTTCGGATTCTGTGTCTCCCTCTCTCTCTGTTCCTCCCCCCAGTCACTCTCTGTCTCTCTCTTAAAAATAAGTAAACATTAAAAAAAATTTAAAAAAGAACTCTTACAACGAGAGCAAAAAAAATTTTTTTATTAAAAAATAAACAGAGAATCTGAATAGAGAGTTTTCCAAACAAGACATACAGATGGCCAACAGGTACATTAAAAGGTGCTCAACATTACTAATAATCAGGGGAATGCAAATCAAAACCACAATGAACTATCACCTTTACACCTGTCAAAATGGCTATTATCAAAAAGACAAGAAACAGCAAGTGTTAGCAAGGATGCAAAGAAAAGGGAACCCTTTTGCACTGTTGCTGGGAATGTAAATTGGTGCAGCCACTGTGGAAAACAATACAGAGGTTCCTCAAAAAATTAAAAACAAAACTACCACATGATCCAGCAATTCCACTTGTGGGTATTTATCCAAAGGAAATTAAAACTCCCAACTCAAAAAGATATACACACTCCTGTGTTCACTGCCGCATTATTTAGAATAGCTAAGACATGGAAGCAACCTAAGTGTCCACAGATGGACAAATGGGAAAATAAGTGTGGTCTATATACAACAGGATATTATTCAGCCATCAAAACAAAAGAAGAAGAAGAAGGAAATCCTTCCACCTGCAACAACATGGATGGGCCTTGAGGGCATTATGCTAAGTGAATAAGTCAGACCGACAAAGACAAATACTCTATGATCTCACTCAGATATGGGATCTAAAAAAAAAAAAGAAAAGAAAGAATAAAAGAGGCAGTGGCAGGATAAGGAATGCAAAGAGCTGTTAGTAAGCTGGTGGTTGTTGTCAATAAATCTTGGTCCAAAACTACTAAAAAGTTGCCAGAACTGTGTGAGAAGTTTTCTACTGCTCTCCTCTTGGGAAGGGGCTTGGCAGGAGAGGGAGTAGGGAGAAAGCAACTCAAGGTGAGATGAAAAGCTACTGCAATTATTCCCTACACTGATGTTTACTGAGAGGCACCAAAGGGGAGAAAAAATATCTCTCCAGCCCAAGGCGAAGCTATCTCAACACAACTATTCCTTATTGAGCATCTGCTATGTGCTTACTTATGGTATTACCTTTAATGGTCACAATATCTGTGAAAGTAAGGTGACATCTCTATTTTTAAATAAACTTTTAATTTTATAGTTGTTTCAGATATCTAGAAAAGTTGCAAAGATAGTGCAGAGATTTCCAGTGTATTCCTCCCACAGTTTTCCCCATGGTCAATCTCTTAACATCACCGGGGTACATTTGTCAAAACTAAGCAACTGACATTGTTAGGTTACTATTAACCAAATTCCAGACCGTATTTGGATTTCACCAATTTCCCCATTAATGTCCATGTCTGAGTCCATTCAGGCTGCTGCTATAATAAAAATACCATAGGGGTGCCCACGTGGCTCAGTCAGTTGAGCATGCGACTCTTCTTTTTGACTCAGGTCATGGGATCAAGCCCTGTATCAGGCTCTGCACTGAACATGAAGCCTGCTTGGGATTCTCTCTCTCTCTCTCTCTCTCTCCCCCTCTTTCTTCTCTCTCACTCCTGCTCTTTCTCTCTCTAAAAACATAAATAAATAAAAATAAATATGCCATAGACTAGGTGGCTTAAACAGTAGAAACTTATTTCTCACAGTTCTGGAAGTTGGAAAGTCCTAGATCAAAGTGTAGGTAGATCCAGTGTCTGGTGAGAATCCACTCTGGTTCATAGAGAGTTGTCTTCTCACTATGTCCTCAACATGTCAGAAAGGGCCAGGTTGCTCCCTGGAGTCTCTTTTATACAGGTAAAAAAAAAAAAAAAAATTGTAAATATGTGAGAAGCTGGAGCTGTTAACTAACCTTATTTTTATCATATAATTTTGATATATATCATCATATTGTGTCCCTTAAACATATATGCTGTATGTCAATAATATCTCAATAAATCTGTAAAAAAAATAAATAAAACTTCTTCCTGATTACTGGGCTATTCAGAGTCCCTACTTCTTCTTGAGTCGATTATTGTAAATAATATTGTCTCAGAAAATCGTGCATTCCTTAGAATCTCAAATTTGTCTCTGTGTAATGGAATTGAATATCCCACTTTAATATCAGTTACTAAATCCTCTAATTCTTCACTTTCTGTGATTATGTTTTCTCCTAATTCTTGATTTGAGTTGCTAGCAACTTGTCTAATATCTTACCAATTTTTTTAAGCCTGCCATAATTTTGGTTTGCTTTACATAAGTCTATTTTGTTTGCCAATTATTGAATTAAACCCTGCATACAGTCATTCCTTATTGAAAAGCAAAGTATTTCAGGCTATGCATTTTCTCTGAGTACCATGCTAGTCATTCTGTAAGTTCTAATATCTAGTGCCCTTAATGTCGTTATTGTCTAATAATACTCTAATTGTACCTCTTATATTCCCCCTGACTAAGCATTATTTAAGTGAATGCTTTGCATTTGTTATGGTTTTTTTTTTTTAATTTTTGAGTGGTTGAGTTTTTAGTTCAACTCTTTTTTTTATCAATAATGTTGCCCTTAGAAAATATGACCTGTATGATTTCCCTATTTTAGAACATGAGACAGTTTTATGGCCCAGTTTTTAAACAGTCTTTTAACCCTGATGAAGGGGAGAAAGAACTATTTCGATTTACGGCAGAATTCCAGAGATCCAGCAGACTGAGGGAAGAAGCTGAAGCTGTAAAATACCACAGCGGAGGGGCGCCTGGGTGGCACAGTCGGTTGAGCATCCGACTTCAGCCAGGTCACGATCTCGCGCTCCGTGAGTTCGAGCCCCGCGTCGGGCTCTGGGCTGATGGCTCGGAGCCTGGAGCCTGTTTCCGATTCTGTGTCTCCCTCTCTCTCTGCCCCTCCCCCGTTCATGCTCTGTCTCTCTCTGTCCCAAAAATAAATAAACGTTTGAAAAAAAAAATTAAAAAAAAAAAATACCACAGCGGAAGTTGTATCTCTGTGTTCATAATCTTCTGCGCCATGCTGGAGTGGCCGCCAGGAGTTGCTGGGGAGTGTCCAGTGTTTTGCCTCGTGGGGACATCTGGGCCAAGTGCCGTCTGTAAGTAGGTACCACGTGGGCACAAGGCACTTAATGAGTTCTTGCAGGATTCAGATAGGACTCGAACTGCCTGCAGCCCACCCTTGCGTCTAGTTGGCGTCTCTCAGAGTGAAGCAGCGTTGCTGAATTCTGAAGAAGTCTCCCCTACTCACCTTCCAGGCAAGCTTTTCTCTCTCTCTCTTTCTTTTCTTCTTTCTTTCTTTCTTTCTTTCTTTCTTTCTTTCTTTCTTTCTTTTTCTGAAGCTCAAAACAAATAGCCTATTGGCAAAGTACTCATAGAGGTACAGGTTAATATTTCCCCTTCGGACATATACTTACCATTCAAGGATACGAAATCAAAGTCATTGAAAGGTGCGACCGTTACAGAATATGTTCTGCCTGAGAGTTTGGTTTTAGCTGAGCCTCAAGATCACATCCCACCCCTACCAGAATAGCAGATGTCCCTTAGTCACCAGAGCTCACTGTCAGTAATATCTTACATCTGAAAATAAATCCAGCTTTAGGCAGCTTGACCACATATGCGCCTCTGAAACTATGGCAACAGAAAGTCCTTTTACCTCTGAGTCCCAATTAAAAGTGTTCTGTTGGCTATAATTGGAATGTTTGGTCTCCAAAACTAGTATATCAAAGCAATCATGTAAGCCTCAAATGTCACCATCACACAAATTGATATTTCCCATGCAAGCGGCTAATGAGTGGTCAGACCAAAGAGCATGTGTGATTGAGGTTACAGAGAACAACTGGATAAATTCATTTGGGGATCTTTTTCTCTAGGCCCCATCTGACCCACCAAAGGGTGGGGCGAGAAAAGGTGGAGATTTTCAAGTCTGGGTATCCAGGAGGGTAGAGGGGCTTTTAATAGAAACTACTAAATACTTGAAGAGTAGGTTTCATGTAAAGAATGACACTTGGTGAGAAATGTATTTGATTTTACTCTACTAGAAAGCCAGGCGTCTGGCACTGAACCAGGACGCATCATGTTTGAGTTTCCTGCCTGGTTAAAAAAAAGAGAAAAAGAATGTGGGGTGGGGGAAGGAGGAAGGAGGAAGGAGGAAGGAGGAGAAGGAAGAGGAGGAAGAGTGTTGATTAGTAATAAGAATGTCTTTTTTTGAACATTATACTTTCAGATTGGTTTTATCTTTGTTTCTGATTGATTCTTAGCAGTAGCATGGAACAACTCAGCTTTTAGTCTCTCCTCTGTTAAGTATGAAATGATCTATAAACAAACACTTAAAAACATGCAATTGAAATGGATCTTGTGATCCTTTTGTAATGTGAAAATCTCCTGGTAATGTAAATCATTTCACCTCCTAAAAATCTGTTCGCTAACATATTCAGTGCTGTTTAATAATGTTAAAAGACTATTTTCTGGGCCTTTATTTTCTGGGAATTAGGAGATAGATCGATGATAGATGATAGATAGATAGATAGATAGATAAGATAGAGGGAGGGAGGGAGAAATTTCTTTCTTCTTGGATGATATCATAGGAATATGCAAATAACAGAAAGATCAACCGACAGTGGTTTCATCAACTCAGAAGGTAGACATTACATGTCTACAACTCACATGCTCATCCCTGGGAAATGTGCTCTTTTAGTGGACATGCCGCTACCTTTCAGCTGGGGTTAGGTTAACGAAGAAGAGAGAAGAGTTATTGGGTAAGCAACTACCATATTCCCTCCCCATCTAACACATCTAGAAGGCATGGTGCTTTTTAGAGCAATGATCATTCAGCTTTCAATTGAGGATTTCTTTTTTTTTTTTAATTTTTTTTTCAATGTTTATTTATTTTTTTTTTGGGACAGAGAGAGACAGAGCATGAACGGGGGAGGGGCAGAGAGAAAGGGAGACACAGAATCGGAAACAGGCTCCAGGCTCTGTCTGAGCCATCAGCCCAGAGCCCGACGCGGGGCTCGAACTCACGGACCGCGAGATCGTGACCTGGCTGAAGTCGGACGCTTAACCGACTGCGCCACCCAGGCGCCCCTCAATTGAGGATTTCAAGTCATACACCATCTGTCACTATTTTAAATGAATTCAAGTCAAAAAACTTGGGATCACATGCTGGCCTGGCCACTAACTCTGTGACCTTGGACAACAAAGTGATTCACTTTTATTTCTTAGTAAAATGAGATAACTTAAAGCAATCATTGGAAAGACCCTGAAATTCTATGCTTCCATGCTACATCCTTAGCTGGCATATACCCAGGTTCTCTGGTATTGGTCTCCTGAACCCCGATCCCCACCCTTTATTCCTGGGAGATAGTCTTCCAAGGACCTAGGAGCATCGCTGCAGGAATCATAGTGCTTTGGAGAAATGAAAATATCCCCTTGTATCCCTTATACAGAGAAGATTGGAAACAGTGGTGGTTCTAAGGTGACATACCTGATCCATTTCAGCAAGGCCCCTAGGCTCTGTGTGACCAGCACACCTGTGCCAGAGGTAAAATGATCTCCACTGGAAGTGAGGAAGACAGAACCAACCTCTGCCACCACCACTGCACAAGGACTGCTGGGGAAGCTCCTAGAAGAGAAGTAGCAAACAGGAAGGAAATGAGAAGAGAGGATTGAGAAAAGTTTAGGGTGACATGTGAAGTCTTGCTCAGATACAAACCCTATGGCATCCACGGTGCTTTCTGTCCTCCCGCTGTCTCCATCCAGGAACCTCATCCTCACATAGCTAAACCCCCTTTCCAGTGAGCTGGAGAAAAGGTGAGAGTTCTATTTGTTACATGCAAGAGGGGCCTATTACATTCTGCATCAGGAACCTGTTTTACTTACACTGTTGTGGGTGAACCCTGTTCAATCCAGAGAAGTTTCGCCCTCCACCTCTTTCAGCTCTGCCTACCCACCCTCTCACTGCATCCGATTTATCGGTGAACAGAGACTTTCCATAGCTGCCTCTGGTTAGCTGATAAATTGGGCTTTGCAATGCATCTGTGGCTTTATATCACCCACTAAATTTTTTTAGATATTTAATAAGAGAGAAAGCTGGTCTCTGCTGGAAATAATCCTCAAAGGAGTACAGCAAATAGAAGAATAAAAAAGGGCCCTTTTCCCATGCAAACTGCACACGTTAGAACCAGATCTACCAAAGTATCTGAGAGATCTCTGAAGTTTCTGGAAGGAAAGAGATTGCTCAGACCTCTAAGGACTCATTAGAGAAAGAGAAATAACAGAAACTTCATCTAGATACAAAGAGTTTCTTCACTCTTTTTTGGACTACTATTTCACATCTCACACCAAAGTGAAACCACAAAAGTTTCATGAGAATCCATGTGAGAAAATAAAAATGGCACAAAGCCTGGAAGTCATAACTTCCAGTTGTAACTCAGTAAAAATGTTTCTAAATCTTTGAAACATTAGCCAAGTCAAAAGATAAATGAAAACTGGAGAGAAATGTGTAAACTGTATTACAAACAAAGACATAATTCCCTTCATATATAAAAAGCACCTGCAAAACCAATAAGAAAAAGACCAACAATCCAGCAGAAAAAAAGAAAACTGGCAAAGAATAAGAACATGACTGTTCACTGAGTAGGTAATACAAACAGAAAGCAAACATTAAAATGCTCAACTATGAGCGCTCAGTTATGCTAGGGAGGAACAGACACATTTTTCCTCCCTAAGCCCAACTCTGTCTTTCAGAAATAAATTTTGATATTCAGTCATTTTGTCAAAACTTATCACCCCACACGAGCCTACCTCCAAATCACACATGAAATAGATGAGCTACAGATTGAACAAGGCAGATAAGTGTCTATTTGGTGGGATTTCAGGATTGTTAATAAGGCTCCCCAAAATGATTCCCATGTTGCCCACCAATGTCTGAACTCCCACCATAGGAGACCTATTCATTTAGTTTACAGACTTCCCTGTTGAAAGCAAATAGTCATGAGAGAAACAGGCCCTGAGCCTTCTGATTATTTCTTGGTGTGAGCAGCACAATAGCAACTTCATAACTTTGTGTTATGTTTTGCCATTTACAATATACTGTCACAACAGGATCTGTCTTGTCTTGTCAATCACTCTGTAGAATAAGAAAAGGGAATATGATTCCAATTTCATGGATACCTCTTCATTGATGGAGGCACACCTCAAGCGCAAGCTTTCTGATTCCTAATCCTAAACACTTTTCAGCACCCTATGCTCTATGTAGATCTGTAACGCCTTTCCTGGGATGGCATTGTGGCGGGGGCGGGGGGGGGGGGGGTGGAGTGAAAGTGTAATACCATGACGTGCTGTTGTTGCTAAGAGTGAAGGGAAATGAAAGAGAAAGAGCCACCAGAGAGGAAATGGCACCACAGTCATGGTCAACCACACTAAAGACACATTCAACTCACAATTTCATTTGCCGATCTGAAAATAGACCTGGTCATTTGTAACCCCTTCTCACCTCCCAAGTATGCCATGAAAAGAAAGTAAACACCTCAATGTTTCCCAAAAAGGGATTGCTGGAAATTTCTGAACACCTGCTGATTGGAAGCATTTGAGTTTACTCATATTCTTGCCACTGTGGCCAGCCCACTCTTCATCCTGCCCACCATTTTCATCTCAATGACCACATTTTTTCATTTCTACAAGTTCTGCTTTATTCTTTTCCCACATTCTCACTTCTTTCTGTTATAACTTTGATGATTTTTTAAGTACACTCATTTCATGGTCTCCATCAAATAGCTCTGTGATTGGATGTTACTGGGTTCCATCCCTACTATATGTTTTGCCTGATGACCCTTAGATATGGCAGATGGCTTCCTCGTGCATTTTGTAATTTGGCTTTTGAGATTATTCTAGCGGAGCCTCATCTATGGAAGCACCAAGTGGGCAGAATTAAAAATCTACCCAGCTTCCTAAGGTAGTTTTATATTTGCAACTATAGTCATTCTGAGGGTATCACCTGCACGGAACAAGTGGTATGTTCATTTTTCGGTTTGGGGGTTTCCAAGACCTTGCATGCAGTATACATTAGAACCCCAAAGTTGTGCAAGGAGTCTGTTATAAATGTATACTGTTATGAATTCTCAAGAGGAAATTAACCCTCACTCAGAACCCGGGAGGCAGATAAATTCCATTGCAGTGTCTCTGCCATGGAATATAATATCTAATCATTTCTCCAAGTACATAGCCTTTCAAGTACCCCAGATGTTTTCAGAGGTCTCAGTTCCAATTCCCTGCCACACAAGAGCCCAAGATCTCATCTCCCATCTCTATGTGAGCTTCGGAGTCTAAAACCCTTGTTTACCAGAAACAGTAAACTCTCGCCTCTCAACATTGCTGGACCATCATCAGTCCTTGTCATTATCCCCTCTGTTTTCAGCTCCTGGGAATTTCCTCTTACTTTTTAGGCATTTGAAAGGATGTTTGTTATAGTCTGCTCAGCATTTCTAGGCATTTTCTAGTAGGAAGCTTTTCAGACTACTTAGTTTATTATATTATTGAAAACGGAACCACAAGTCTCTTTATATACATTATTCAATTTAATCCTCATCCTATTCCTGCAAGATAGATAATCATAGTCCCATTTCACAAGTGAGGAAATTGAGACTCACAGAAGTTAAATAATTTTCTCAAGGTCACACAACTAATCCTGACCTTGAAGATCATGTTCTTTCCCCTATTATGTCTGAAGAGCTAGCCTGTTTCCTCTACTGTGTCTGAAAGGAGCCCAGAGCTTTTGAAGAGTTTAAACTGAAGAGTCCTTTGAAAATTCTCCTTGAAGAACATTATTTTTTTTTTTAAGTTTTGGCAGGGTTCCATTATTAATTATAAGGGTGAATGGTAAGCCAAAGAATTACGAAGCCTAAATGTGGCTTGATGTCACCTTTGGGGAAAACATCAAGAATCACTGACTAGGCTTGTGTTTGAACATACTGAGAATGTGAGAGAGGCAGACCTTCCCTCCCCAAGCAGTCAACCTCATTATATCCAAGGGTGGGTCAGCAGAAGGTCTGGAGGACTGGCTCTGCCTGAAATATGTAGGAGAAAGTGGATCAGGAGAGGTTAATGTCCATGCTGTGGAATCATGAAACCAATGAAAACCTGGATCATTGGGTTAGAAACTGGCCCAAGGCCAAACACAAATATAGTCATAATTGGAGCCTTCCCAAGTAGAAAAAGGTTATTAGTGGAATCACATTAATCACAATGATTAATGCTGAAACCCGAGCTTTTTATTATGGAAAAGGCTAGGAAGAGTCTATTGACAGAGAGAAATAAAAAGGTTCCAGTTTTGCAGAAAATAGTGAACACAAGAAGGACAGTAAATATTCAGGATGTGATTTGAAATCAGAAACCTGGATGAGTCACACAAATCATGCTTAAAAGCCGCTTATGCAAAGAAGTTTGCCAGAAAGCAAATGTGCCTACAGATGGCCCATCAGGAGGCAGTTGGGTAGTCCCTGAGTGCTGCAAGGGCAGCCAGACTAAAGGACAGGGCAGAGGGGAGGAGGGGAGGAGGGGAGGAGGGGAGGATGAGCCCAGAACAGGGATCAGGGAACAGGGATCTTGCCATCCACCAAACTTCCTTAGTTCACAGCCTGCCAAAGGTTGTGCCAGGATAGGTCATCTTGGAACCCCAGAGCCTTCACACGCTTTTACTCCAGATAAGCAGGACCAAAGACACAGGGCTAACTGGGTGCAAGCTGTGCGTTTAAGAAGAAATTGCAAGGAAGAGTGATTAATCAAAATGAAAGTACATAGATCGAAGCCTCACCCTTGAATCCAAACCAAGCTAGATGAGAGGTTGGTCGGTGACTAAGAGGATGCAGAAAAATGAGGCCACTTAAAAAGGAAGGAGAAATGTGACCCTGGAAAAACCTCTAAACTGGAATTAGGTGCTCAGAAGGCTTTTGATGGTCTGACCATCACCATTGACGTGGGCCCAAACTGATAGGCTTCCCAAACTGAGAACAAACCATTAAATAATTTTTCCCTGACTTATATTTTATAGGAAAAAAAAATTCTGGAAGAAGAGAGGCAGATTGTGTGTCTTTTAAAATTAATTTATAACATGCCTGTTTCCAAAACGATCCAAAGTAAGTCATAATATTAAAGTATACACACAAGGTAGTTACATAAAGATTCTTGGCAAAGTCTGGCTCACTCTTCATCAAACTCATTTCCTCTTCTTACTAGATATAAACTAGACCACATTTCCTCCTGTGCAAGTAGGAATGACTGAGTTCTAGCCAATAAAACATGAGCAGAAGTATGTGCACCAGTTTCAGGACTGGCCCATAAATACCTCCCTAGCCTGACCATCCATACCCTTTCTTCATCTTCCATCTACATACGGAGGACTCTGAAGCCCCAAAGAGGAATGAGCCTAAGTCCCTGATCTCTGCTTGTGGAAGAACCACCTGATGATTGGGAATACCCATTTGAACTTTACATGAGAAAGAAATTCCTAATGTGATGAGCCACTGGAACTTGGAAGATTATTTGTTACAGCAGCTAGCATTACTCAACACAGAACTTGGTAACTTGGAGAGGAATATTGGCATAACAAAAATCTAAAATACACCGCATTGGCTTAGCAAGCCGGTGGCAGGCAGAGAGGAATCTGTGAGGCCCATAATACTCTATGGCAAAACATTAAAACGGTTACATGCCATAACCTGGATGGCAGATCAGGTACAATGGATAAGGAGCCTGTAGCTCTAGATAAGTAGTTGAGAAAAGACCCAGATATCTTTTGGTTTTTAATAAGGAGAGAGGGAGGGGGTAGAAAGAGAGATTGTACTTGGAACCTGTAAAGACTGAAAAAGCTTACCATTTCAAGACCCCAGATAGTCATAGTTTAGAACAACAAAAAATTTTAAGGAAATATGCCCCAGCAAGACCCTGCCCTAGGATAAAGCTTAGATTCAGGAGAGGCACCTTCCCACCAAAGCATATTTTTGCAGATGGCATCCAATTATGACAAGTATGCAAAGAAATAAGCCAGATCAGGGAATTTTGGCTGGAAAGGATTTGGAACGCGGCTCCTGGTAATTGGGACTGCCTGGGAGGAAAGAAACAAGACGAGAATTGATTGAGTTTGGGGGATTTTTTTTCCCCCAAAGAAGTGTGACTGGCCAGATTTGTATGATCGGGTACCAGGCCAGAAAAGCTCTACAGTCCCCAAGAGGGGGCATCCTCCCAAAGCCTACTTTACTTTTTTTAATATGACATTTATTGTCATATTCGTTTCCATACATCACCCAGTGCTCATCCCAACAGGTGCCCTCCTCAATACCCATGACCCACTTTCCCCTCCCTCCCACCCCCATCAACCCTCAGTTTGTTCTCAGTTTTTAAGAGTCTCTTATGGTTTGGCTCCCTCCCTAACTTTTTTTTCCCTTCCCCTCCCCCACGGTCTTCTGTTAACTTTCTCAGGATCCACATAGGAGTGAAAACATGCGGTATCTGTCTTTCTCTGTGTGACTTATTTCACTTAGCATAACACTCTCCAGTTCCATCCACATTGCCACAAAAGGCCATATTTCATTCTTTCTCATTGCCAAGTAGTATTCCATTGTGTATATAAACCACAAGTTCTTTATCCATTCATCAGTTGATGGACATTTAGGCTCTTTCCATAATTTCCAAAGCCTACTTTAGAAGGCTGTGGAGGAAAAGGACTTGGTAGACTCTTACAGAGGGTGCAGTAGGAGTTATACAGGACAATGAACAAGGAAATAAGGAAATTCTTCAACCAAATCCGAGTCAGGTCAATTCAAGAAACTTCCCCACTAATAGGCAGTGACAGGCCTCACCCCACGTCTCTGACAAAACCCCCTTCTTGTTTTGAACCAGCCACATGTGGTCCCCACCTTGCCCTTTTTTGAATGAGAGTTTTTTGTGAGGTATCCAGTCCCTGCTGTACATGGCATGTTGGAAGTTGGGATGGGACATGACAATCATCTTTTCAGATCCATAGGAGTCACCTGCAGACATAAGGGAGACAAATGCATATCATCAGCCAGAGATCCTGCACTTAGAGTTTGAGGGAATGACTGGGTGAGACTTTGGATGGTCTTTCTTGGGGAGAGTGTTTTCCATGTGTGGTAAGAACAAAATGGGTACCTGGTAACCAGAGGAGAGATAGGCAAATGCCTTAGTTGGCTCAGGATGTTATAACAAAATACCATTAATTGGGTGGCTTAAACAACAGAAAATTAAATTTATTTCTCACAGCTCTGGACCAGCTAGGAAGTCTAAGATCAAGGTGCTGGCTGATTTGGCTCCAGGTCCTGGTGAAAGCTCTCTCCTTGGTGTGCAGGCCACTGTCTTTTTTTTTTTTTTCTGAATCCTCAAACAGTGAGGGGAGAGAGAGGATGCTTTGGTCTCTTCATATAAGAACACTAATACCATCATAAGGAACTAACCCTCATGATTTCATCTAAACCTAATTAACTCCCAAAGGCCGCACGCCTAGTACCTTCACATTGGTAGTTAAGGCTTCGACACATGAATTTCATGTGAACACAGACATTCAGTCCATAATAACAGAGGCTGACTATTCATCAAATAAGTTTCCTTTTCTTCCAGCACACAATGTGTCAACGGTTCTCAGCTTCCCTTATTAGGTGGAGGCACTGTGTGTGATTGAATTCTAGTCAGTGGAACATGAGCAGAAGTTACGTGTGCCATTTCCTGATCTAGCTGCCATTTCCTGATCTAGCCCATACACAATCCTGCATTTCTTTCCTCACCTGCCCCTGGAATTCAGAGAATTACCCCTAACAGAGACATAAAAGAAAAACTGGAGACCACTTGGAATTAGAAAATATATAAATGTACAAGACAGAGAATTAAGGCACTTACTAACTTAGTATTTGGCTCTGAGCTTCATGGAACCCAAACAAACAAACAAGCAACAACCTATCAAATCAATAGGTATCGTTCACAATATCTAAGTTAGAAAGTACGTAAATGTCAAGAGACAAACTTTGGCACTCATTGCAGGGAAAGTTCATCACATGGATCCACATCTTTGGGAAACTACAAAATGGGCTTCTTCAACTACATTTTGGCAAATCATGGAAAGTGAGTCTTATTGGACAATTTCAATAAAAGTCACAAGCCTAAAATCAAAGATTGCCTGAGTGAGGGGAACCAAATGATTTAGTGACTGACCACATATCTTTACATATTTATTTTGTGGTCTTTCCTTACCTGATCCTATGCAAGATTTCAATGGTTCTCCAGTGCCTTCCATATTAACTTCAAGGCACTAACCTGTTGTCCTTTACCATTCTTTCCAATCTCATCTCTCTCTCTTCCCCCACAGGTACCTACTGCTGTCATCAAACTGTCCTGCATTCTGTTCTTCACATTCCCAACTCTGATACTTTCCTCAAATTTCTCCCTTACCTGGGACTCTGTCTCTTCATCTCCAAACTTCACTAACCTCTACCTTTCCTTCAAAACACAGCTAAGTTGCCACCTCTTTCCTAAAGCCATCAGCCAGGCACCAGTCATGTGTGTGCCTTGTGGGAGAATATATGTGGTAATTAGAGCAATGCCTTCCCCTGAAAATACTCACGTTCAAGTCCCGAAACTTTTCGCTATGTTAGGTTCCATGGCAAAGGAAAGTAAAAGTTGCAGACAGAATTAAGGTTGCTTATCAGCTGACATTGAAATGGGGATATTAACCTAGATTATCCAGTGGGCCCAATGTAATCATGGAGATAAATACAAGAGGGAGGCAGAAGAAAGATCAGAAATATGGCATCATGAGAAATATTTGGCCCTATGTTCCTGGCTTTAAAGATGGAGGAAGGGGCCACAAGCTAAAAATGTATGGTCACTAGAAGCTGGAAAAGCAAGAAATGGGATTCTCCCCTAAAGATTCCAGAAAGAATGCACTTCTGCGAACATATTGATTTTAGCCCAGTGAGATCATTTTGGACATCTCACCTCCAGACATGTAAGACAATATACTAATGTGTGGTAGTTTGGTACAGCAGTAATAGGAAACTAAAACAACATCCATCCATGGGATCCAAGGGGGTACTTCTGATCACAATCCCACAGACCCGCATTCATGCCCAAACCAGCTCTTTTTTGAGGCCGTATACTTCTGCTATCCAATGCCTCACTTCATATGACTTCTGTGTTCTCCAAACCATTCCTCTGTACTCTTGCTCTAGACCACTGTCTAATGAGAATTTACCACACCCATCTACCAGCTCATGGCTTGTCTCCTGTCTCAAACTTGAGCATTGATCCAATCATTAATGTGATGAATGAGATACTCTTAGGAATGGCTGACCTGGTCTGGCCACTGAGTACTATACTGGCATTTACTACCACGTGATTAATTCTGCCCAGTTCATTTGGGGCATGCCAATGGCATTCACAGCTGAGGTATGGCCTTCTTGACCCAGAATCAGGCCTTCTAAGCCCATCACTTCTCTAGCATTTGCATACCCCACCCCACCCCCCACTGAGATACTCAGGAACCTCTGATTCCCTGGATGTTATGCAAGGACGCTGGAGTACTGGAAAGTGTCTCAGGTCCAGATATATGGACACTTCCTCAGCCACTTCTAACATACATTCCTCCCTCAACCAGCACCATGTTATCAGGCACGGCAGTGAAAGTGGAACATCTCTAAGGGTCCCACAATTTTCTCAGGCTATGACTTAGAAAATGTAGAGTAAGGAAGATGTTTCCTGCACTAGGTTTTTCCCAAACCCCTCTGGGAGCTTCTTCTCTCTACGCCCAAATTCTTTCCTCCCACACCAGAAGGCAGTCTTTCTTCTTCCTCTGTCGATATGAAAGGAACTACCTCTAAGGAAGGTCTCTTTAAAAATATTGACCCTCTTACATCTACACTCAGCTAGACTATAACATCCATGATAGCAAAAATTCACCTTCATGTATTTATTCCCCACCTAGTGTCTGACATTCACTAGGCACTGATGTGTGTTGAAATACATCTGAATTAAATAAACTGATTTATATTGAATTGAGGAATGGTGATATGGGCTTGGGAGCTAGATGTGAAAGAGGAGCCTCAAGGTCCCAGTATAATATAACGCTGTGTGTGTGTGTGTGTGTGTGTGTGTGTGTGTGTGACAGAGAGAGAGAGAGAGAGAGAGAGAGAGAGCACGTGCCAGGGTAACAAGGTGTGGCTGGCTCTGGTATAAACTTCCCAAGAGGAACTGTGAATTCAACTTGTTGCCATCCCTTTTTTCCCACAGATCCCAAGGCAAAGTATAAGCATGACACTCACAGAGGTCCAGGCTTAAAACCCTAAGCTGAATTCATTGTGATTCAAACACCTCCAGGTATGAGAGGAAGGTTGGTGGGGCAAGCCTTCCAAGGGTCAGTCTGCAAGAAGCACTAAGGAGTCTCCTGAGACATAATTCATCCTAAGGGAAGGAGTCGAAGTGAACAAGTCTGGCCTAAAGAGGATAATGAGTCAGGAAGGGAGGGGCAATTTTGAACACAGCATAATGGCTGTCTTTCAGCTCATTATCTAGTCCAGTCCTTATGGATGCATGCCAGAAACCAAGATGAAGGACACTGCACACTACATTAAAGAATAATTTTTAAAGGGATATGTTTTTCTTTTTAAAAATTATATATATATATACACATTTGTGTGTATTTATTTATATAAACATATATATGATAAAGTTGGTACTCTAGAGATTACAGGAAAGTTTGAGTTCTATATAGGGTGACAATATACCCCAGTTTTTTCTGAACAGTCCAAGTGTACACCTGTTGTTTCAACATGGAAACATCTTCCCTCTTCCGGATGCATTGTAAAGTGCCCCAGTTCAGATAACAAATTACATGGTCACCTAGTCCTAAGGACTATGTTGGGATAAATTTAGGTAACTCATACACTCGTTCTCTGACACATTAGGTCCTTGTGTTCATAAAGGGAGCCTCTTATTGGAAAATATTGTAGAACAAAGAGAACAAGACAAAGGAACATAAACAAGCCCCATTTTTATGAGACTAGAAGACATCTGTAGAGCAGAACCACAACATATGAATCCAGAAAGCAGAGAGAGGAGTGCACTTAGCAGAGCAGTCAAGTAAAACCCAAACGTCTTCAAAGGGAGAAACCAGTAAAGAGAGAACTAATTGACCTGAAGAGCCTACAAAAGATTAAGAAACTGAAGTCATCAAGTACCAACATGGCAAGAGTAAAACCATCACCATGTGCTACAAAGCAGTTACCCTCCTCCATCTTGTTGGGAGATAGATGTAGACTCTCTGGATGGATTAAATCAGACTGCCTCCATCTCAGGGATGCCAAGCACAGAGAAGGATGTGCATGAGATGCCAGACTCTCAAGAAGAATTAACTGGACACTATATTTTGAAGGTAAGACCTTCAGCCTTCTTCCTTATTCCAGCTTTAGAACACTGTTATCTAACTTGATTCCTCAAAAAAGATGTAAAAAAATAAACACCCTCATGGGAGAAAGAAGACCCATAAATAATGACATTTGAGGGAAGTCTGGTTGGCCAACAAATTTCCCTACATGAAATCCAGAGAAGTCAACAAGGCCAAACCAAGCCTAATTACCTTTTTAGTGCCTCATTATTAAAAATGAATGGACACCAGGCATTTGGGGAGAGCTGAAGACTTGAAAGACAAAGACAAAAGCAAACAGAAAAAAAAAAAACATTAGAAAAAGAAAAACAAAAAAAAAGAAATGAAGCAAGAAAAAAAATTTCAAGAAAGTTATAATTAATGACTTCAGAGAATGAAGAAAGATAGCCTGCTATCTTCTTAAATAATCAGATTCCAGTAATAAGACCTTAAAATTTTAAATATTATGTCTGGCTTCCTTAAACTATTCAACAAAAAGATGAAGAAATGGACACTAGGAAGGGAAAGATAATAAAATAAAGGATCAGTCCAAGAGGCCTAATATATGCCTAATAGGAATTGCAAAAAGAATGAACAACAACA